TTACCGGGATTTTAAAAAAATTTTAAGCAGCCAAGTTTGGCATAGATGACACAGGGTCACCTCCAAAGCCTCAAAGCCCAGGGCTGCCAGGCGGGAAGCCTCTTCTCCCACACATGGCCATTCCTTCATTCATTCCTCATCGCCCTTTCCTCCAAAGTCTAAGTCCTTGGCAGCCTCCACGCCGAGCCAGGCCTCCAGGCAGAGCCCAGGTCTAGATGTGAATGGCTCCATCATGTGGGGTGAGGCCGTGCTGGGCACAGCAGTGAGACAAGCCTGCAGCCACTGCAGGTGGAGTCTCTGGCTGCAGGGTGAGGCCCAGGCCCCACTCCATTGCCACTGACACCCATGGGTGGTTCACACCGGCCCAGACAACGCACGTTTTCAGCCAGGCTTCAGTGGGGGTGGGGGAGGTGGAGGGTGGAGTGATAGGGCCAGATTCCCAAACACTCCTCTCAATAAGCCCCAGGGGTGGGAGCTGGGGGGTCTCTGAACCTCCGGGGCTGCGGGAAGGCTACACCTTGTGCTGAGGCCTCCAACCTCCACAGTCAGTGACCTTGCTTGAATCAGCCTGGACAAGGCACTGGAAGAGCAGAGAGGAGCGAGGGGCTCCAGGGCCACCTTCCCCAGGACAGCAACCACAGGCTGCCCACGGCACCCACGCAGCAAGGGCCCACCCAGAAGCAGGCTCTGGGGAAAGCAGGGGGCTTTGCTGGGGGTGGGCGAGGGCGGAGGAGCTGTGCAGTGCTGAGCCACGGACTCCACAGGCCAAGGATTGGGCCAGCACCCCAGTCCACACCTGCCGAGGCTGGCATCTGCCTACAAGACCAACTCCCAGAAGGTGCCAGACCCGTGCCAAAGGTCATCTCCTCTCAGCCTCTTCTTTGGTTCATAAAAACTACAAAAACCAGGTTAAAGAAAACACTAAATTCTCTAGAAATCCCAATGCTGTCCCCACTGGCACTAGGCAAGGAGCAGAGATGAGCCAGGATCACCTCCAGCTCCAGCTCCAGCCCCACCCAGATCCCTGCCTACCACTGAGACGGTGGGGCCCAGGCACCCAGCCCTAGCCTCGTCTCAAAGAAGTGGCCGTGCAGAGCCTTCTGGGCCCGTCCCTCCACATGCTGCCCAGGCATAGCTGCAGCTCAACCTCTCCCCACACTGGGTATGGCATCCTCTAGGCCACCGCCCTTCTGACACCCAGGTCCCTGCTGCCCAAGTGCTCAGCCTCGCCATGTCCTCGGGGCATGCCCCTCCTAGCCAATGTCACATCCACGGAGACATGCAGGGGAGCAGAAATGTTCTGGTGTCATTTCACCTTCGGTGGGACCTGCACAGGAGAGGCTCAGCGATTCCCAGGTCTGGGATCCAAACAGTCCCGCCCGGGCCATCAGCCTAGCTCGCTGCTGGTCTGTCCATTTGCTCAACGCTGTAGGTCTGGAAGAAAGTGCCGTGACAGAGGTGCGTCCCCCTTGGAGGGCACAGGTGGCTGGCAGAGGTTGGGTGGTCAGCCACTACCCACCTCCCACCTGGAAGCTCATGGTGGCCCTGCACAGGCTGCTCCAGCACCACAGCCCAGGCTGCCACCAAAGGCACCAAGGAGCATCAGGCACTGGGCAGAGCAGCTGGTCCAGCATCACAGCCCCAGGCTGCCACCAAAGGCACCAAGGAGCATCAGGCACTGAGCAGAGCGGCTGCTCCAGCACCACAGCCCCAGGCTGCCACCAAAGGCACCAAGGAACATCAGGCACTGAGCAGAGCGGCTGCTCCAGCACCACAGCCCCAGGCTGCCACCAAAGGCACCAAGGAGCATCAGGCACTGAGCAGAGCGGCTGGTCCACCTGGGAAGGAGCGTAATCAAGGCATGTGCTCGTGGTGGTACCTTCCAAGCAGTGCCAGGACTAAGGAGGACACATGGGCAGTGCCAGGCATCCCACACAGCAACTTCCAGGGAAGCCAGGACGGGTGGGGACAGTGGAAACCACATGCTTGGGTCCATGTAAATGAATCCCAGGCTTCCTTCCAGACAGTTCTCAAAACAAAACTTAATTCTGGCAAAGGCAAAACAAAAGATGGGTATGGTGGCTCACGCCTGTAATCCCAGCACTTTGGAAGGCTGAGGCCAGGTGTTCGAGGCCAGCCTGGCCAACATGATGAAATCCCGTCTCTACTAAAATACAACATGAGCCAGGTGTGGTGGCGGGCGCCTATAAACCCAGCTACTCGGGAGGCTGAGGCGGGAGAGTCACTTGAACCTGGGAGGTGGAGGTTGCAGTGAACTGAGATCACACCGTTGCACTCCAGCCTGGGTGACAGAGCAAGACTCCATCTCAAAACACAAACCAAAAAAAACAAGGCAATGTGCTTAACACAGGTGCGGTCATTCACGTCTGGTGCCACTTTTCCAGGGCTCTGAACAAGAGAGCAAAGAGCTCTACCTGGGGACAGCACCATGTCCTGGTTCAGATTCTGTCCCCAGCTGTGCAGCCCACATGGGGAAAGACAGATGGGGCCCCCGGTTAGGGTTAGAGTGTGAACCTTTCAGAATGTTTCCATGTATTTACTTAAGGAAAGTGGTTCTGCAGCCCTTCGTACTCCTGGCAAAGGTTAGCCGCATACAGGGTGGCCCCACGGTTGGCGGTGGGGGGGCCAGGGGGCTCCATTGTGGTCCTGACTCTCCCACCCCAGCCCTGCCACACCCACCACAGCCCACCTGCCTCCCACCCACCGGCACCTCGCTGCCTTCCCCACCCCCCGCAGGGCCCGCCAGTGCTCAGAACAGCACAAAGGTGATGACAGGTGCCACGTGCTCCCAGAGGCTGGGCTCCTCTCCCCCACCGTCCCAGCAGATGTTGGCATAAGCAGCCGTGGGCTCTGTCTGCACAGTGGGACTCCGGAAGCATGCTCTAGGGCTGTGGGGCACTGGGCACAGGGGTCGGGTAGACCCCAGCACCCCTCCTCACCTGAGAAGCAGATACCTACCTGCTGACCGGGCGCCTGCTGGCTCCATGGACACCAGCTCCCTCCTCCTCCTGGAGTCAGGATCTTTCCCTCTCATGGGGGATGCAGTGACAAGAGGACCAGTCTGTAACACGAGCTTGACCCGGCGGCCAGGCTGTGTGAAGAGGGGCTCTGGCCACTTTGCCGAGAGTTTGTCGTGTGTGTGTTAGCTTTTTATTTTTATTTTGGAAGTCTTGCTCTGTCACCCAGGCTGGAGTGCAATGGCCCAATCTCAGTTCACTGCAACCTCTGCCTCCCAGGTTCAAGTGACTCTCCCGCCTCAGCCTCCCGAGTAGCTAGGATTATAGGTGCCCACCACCACGCCCGGCTAATTTTTTGTATTTTTAGTAAAGATGGGGTTCCACCACGTTGGCCAGGATAGTCTTGAACTCCTGACCTCAGGTGATCTGCCCACCTTGGCCTCCCAAAATGCTGGGATTGTCACACCTTCACCTTGCAGTGATGCATTTCAGAAACAAGACTTCTGCCTGCAAAATGCCACTTTATCCTTCATAATGCTGATGCTGCAGGACTGCTTTTACTCTTAATTCATCTTAATGGTGCTTACAGAGGACGGCAGGTGAGCTGTATTCAATATGCTCATGTTTTATTTACGTAGGTGGCACTTAAGATACATGATGCATTGAGAGTTACATTGTCCGCAGAAAGCATCAGATACCACTCCGCTCCCCCCAAAACCAAACAAACGAAGCCAACTCTTGGGCAACAGGTGTGCTAAATAAAATCACAGATCGCGCCTGTTTCCGGCTCCCAAGCCTGGTCAGTGCTCCATAGATAGTGACAAAGAATTCCCAGCTTCAACATCGCTAGATTAAACTGCTGACGTCTTCACATCACACCCAAGCCTCTCACAGCACCCTCACGTCCCAGAGGACAAAGGAAAAGCAACAGGAACAGCAGGTCCTCATGGGAAAGGGAAGGACAGTGGGCGGCGGGGGCCGGGGGGGGGGCGTGCAGGGAAGAAGGGAAGGCAAGGCAACCCCGAATTCCGCTCCATGCTCAGTAACGATAAAAAGAGAAGCCGCAGTACACGATGCAAATGAAAGGGCTGCTGGCAGTGGGCAGGGCAGCATCTAGTCAGAGTGCGGTGACTTTGCTCACAAGCTGAACACTGGCTCAACCTCCTGGTGCCATCTCTGGGTGTTTGGGGCAGGTGTCATGACCTGCCGTTTTCCCCAGCACAGTCGTGACCCAGGAACACTAGGGAGGGGGCTGCTGAGCAAAACCTTTTGCTAAAAAGAATTATGGATCCCAGGAAAAAAACGTGGAATCTAGCAAGACCTACACAATATCTGAAGTTGAATTTGGACTACCAGCAGATGGAAACTAAAAGATGAAGCACAGGAATGATTTTACATGTGCTGTGATTGATGATGCTGTTCATGTGGCCATGTTGCCCTGAGGAAAAGGTGCCCTGGCCGCCAGGATTCAGTGCGTCCCTTAGGGCATTCTCTAAGTCACACTCTACTGAATTACCCTCTAATTCCAAACACAGCACCGCCACAGGAAAGCGCGTGGTTTAGTGAAAGCCCTCGGCTGTCTGCCCTGCTGTTCCCCTAATGCTACAAAGACCCCAGCAGCATGCGGAGTGGTTGCATGGCCGAAAAGAATGAAGAGGATCCGGAAGCTCTAGAGGAAAACTCTGGCAGATTGAGTGCTGGGAGAGGCAGATGGAGAGCCACGGCCACGCCCCGTCCCCAGTGTCCATGCCCGCCACCCGCACCATCAGCCCCACCTCCTGACCCCTGCCCTGACTGATCGGTGATTGCATAATCCTGCTGAGCGAGTATAGCCGCCAGACAGTCCTGACCCCACGCTGCTACCTAGCGCGTGCACATGGCCGCGCGCCGAGCATGGTGGAGCGCCAGCTCTGGGGGCAGCGCGCGCCTGCAAGTCCAGTCTAGTGATTGCCTTTGGCCGACTTCTTCTTCTTCGACTCCTCTCTCTGCTTCTGCTTCTTCCTCTTGCCACCTTCTTTGAATCCTAAGGAAACACGGCTTGTAAAACACGGTGCGGAACAGCACTGCTTCCCCAGTAAGAGCCAAATGTGTTTTCTAAGTATCTCCCCATGTTAAGAACAAAAAGCAAAGAAGTGAGGTCATCTGCCTCAGCCACACCTAAAACTCAAAGCCTGAGCTGACTTTCCAAGGTGCATGTCGAGAACGGCTCCCATTATTCAGAGAACTTCACCACCCTGCAGAGAAGTGAGCGACTCCCCCTACCCGAGTTCAGCGGCAGAGCTGGAAGCCCACCCTGGGGACGGCCACACCTCAGGGCCAGGACCCTGCCCTGGGCCCTCCTTCAGAACACACACGGGGCTTGCGCAGAGCCACGTCCACCTGTGGGGAGGGTGCCCACAACATCTCCTCCGCTCCCCCAGCGCTGGCCACACAGTGAGGCCTTTCTGCAGGCAAAGCCTTGCTGTGCACCGGCCTCATGCTTGTGGGCTCTGTGGCATCCAGCGTCAAAGTCCCATTTCTTGCTTGAGGGAAGTAACCTTGCGTCTCCCTGTTGCCGAAGTCACCGGCGGCCACTGACTGACCCAGCTGAAGTGCAGGGAGAAAGACACCCACCCTCTGAACAGTCGATGCAACATGCCACCAATAAAGGCCTGGTTGCAGCCCTGCCGACATAGTCTCAGACTCTGCATGTGTCCACGTGGGTGCAGGAGACGGTCCTGCTGTTGAGTCAGGCAACTGTCAACCTGAGTGACGTGACTGAGCACAGGGCTCATGACCGGCAGCAGGCAGGTGGAACTGGGTCCCACATGCATGGGCCCCCGACCTGCCAGGAGGACCCTCTGAAGACCCGCACAACAACCCCCAAAGTGGCGGCATGCCCCACAGGGAGGAGCCTGCTCACAACCCTCTTGGGGACCCAAGACCCCACCCACACTCAGGACTCGCCCCAGAGAATCACAGCCATAGGTGGGCCAGGTACCCGGCTTCAACCAGACACATTTTCCCTGCCCAGCAGATGGCCGCCACACTGACCAATATGTCACAGGGTGCAGGCCCACCAAATGTGGCTCGCACACATGCTGCACCACAGTGGGGAAGACACATGCGGACTCTCAAATGTGCTGTGGCTCTCACCTCAGAGCACTGCCCGGACCCAACAGCTCTCCACGGAAGGGGACGTGCATGTAGATAGGGATGAGCCTGCAGGTCCAGTCCACACCCGCAGCCACGCAACATGCCACACTCACCCGCGGCCTGTGCGTGGCAGAGACTGCCACCTTAGGGTGCTTTCCATGCAAGCGGGTGCATCCTGACCGCCCTACAGGAGCAGCACAAGATACACGTGCTGTGAAACACCAGGCCTTCCATGCTGCGTGTTTAGGAGAGTGCGCCTCAGTTACAGAAAGGAACAGAGCGGGCTACGTGCCACTGGCCGCTGTGCAGAGGCCACCAAGGACCTGCTTCCAAAGTCAGGAGGCGGCTCTTTGGAAAAGGCAGAGGAAAGGAAGCGGGAGAAGCCAGGAGATGCCCCACCTGAGGGGCGTGTGGGGAGCCTCGGGGCGAGTAAGTTTGGTATTTTGAGGAGTGTATCTCAAGTGAGAGCTCATTTCCAACCTAAAAAAAATCATGCCCTAGACCCGCCCAGGCCTGGGGGCCGCACACCTGGCTGAGTCCTGAGTGGAAGCTTGCTTACTCCCGGGAGCTCAGACAGGACCTGCTCCACGCAGGGACCAGTCAGACGGCTGGAGGCAACAGCAGGAGCCGTCAGCCCTGCCGGGGAGGACGGGCCTGTTTCAAGGACCTTGCCCAGGACTTGCAAATCCCGCAAAAAGACGAGAGGGGGATCTTCCAGGCACCCAGAGGCCTGGCCAAGAGTCACAAGTTTTCTGTGACAAGGGGCTCCAGGGAAAACAAGCCCTTCGGTGCTCAGCCCTGTCTCCCCCCGAGCCTGCAGGGGTGGAGCCTTGTTCAGCCTTCTCCTTGTCACTCACCAGCACCCAGACAGCACGGGGTGGGTGAGAGAGTCGCAAACAGCCTCTGCAGAGACCAAGACCATCTGCTGTGCGATTCACTCCAGCTCCGTCCCCAGCTCTGTGGGGGTTTCGCGAATCTTCCTTTGAGTCAACTTTGTCATGTCTCAGAACGTAAGTCAAAGTCTCTGGCACATGTTCATTATAGATTTGTATAAAAATCACGTCTGCAGATCTCTGAGGGTTACTCTGGTATCCTCATGATCTCATGAAACGATTGGAAAAAAGAAAACAAACGAGGAAAAGCCGAGGGACGGAAGCTCCACAAAGAGGACCCGGGCAAAAGCAAAGGCCTTCACTTGCCACCTTGGTGTAAGGATTTTGTGTGGGATTCAACAGTCAACCAGGTGCCCCTCAGAAATGGTGTCCTGCCGGAGGATGCAAACTAGCAAAGCCATGAGGCCTGGGGACAGCGGCTCCTGCCCGTGCCATCAGTCCTGCCCACAGCCACGGCCGGCCACAGGCCCAGGAGGAGAACAGCCCAGTTCTGAAATGAGTGTGTGGCCTGGGGCCTCTGCCAGGTGCTGTTCACTGTGCTTTCTCCACCACTCCTCCAGGGGACCACGCCCGCACACCACATTCTTAGGGACTGGGAAGTCACAAGGACCCTCGCAGGCCAGGCTTCCGGTGGTTCAGGGATGCTACAACTATGACCCTGCTCTATCGTGCACCTTGCAAAGACCCATCGACAGACACTGCCCCACTCCCTCCCACCTTTAGACCCTCAGCACCAGGAGTGCACAACAGACCCCGGGGGCTTTCCACCCACCCGCTCCACACACAGGGAGTTTTTTCTAGGTGCATGCAGCCTGCAACTGGCTCTGTTTGCCACTCAGTGACATAGCACAGACTAGCATGGCAAAGGCTGGCGCAGCAGGCAGGCGGGCAGCTGGCCGGAGGGGCTGTGCCCACCCACAGGAAGCGCCTTCCAAGGCTCTCGATGTAGAGTGTGCCTTCCGTCCTCCTCAGAGCCGGCAACTGCTTCATCCAAGAAGGGCTGAAAGGGGCTAATTTTTCAGGAGAAGTTCTATGGAGGGCAGAGGAGGGAACCACCCCACTTCTTTTCACGTCCTGCTGAGACAGTGCTGCTCGGCCCACATCCACAGACGTGACCTCATGACACTGCCTAGCTCCCCCACGCATGGAGATCAGCCACCATGTCCTCCTGCAGACAGGAGTGGCTGGGTCACCTCACTGCTGCAGTGAAAAGAACCAGAAGCAGCATAAATCCTCCAACCAAGGGGAGAGTCACACTACACTGGCCCTGGGCTTTCGGATGCAGTCAGGCCGAGCCTGCACGCACAGCACATCCTCAGGCGCCCCCAAAACTTCTCTGGGACACTCATTTAGAGACTATGCAGCTCCTAAGGAGGTGGGAGGGGGGCAGGGCAGCCAGGAGCCCCACAGCGGGTGGGCGGGCAAACTCCGCTTCACAAGGAGGCCTGACTCAAGGGGGTCTTTGGTTCTGCACCCTGAGATGAAGAAGGCACAAGAAGGTGAAGCTGATGGAGGGCAGGGGCAGACACAGCCCCCGCCAGCGTGAGACCACCTGGCCTAAGCCACGGGCCTCAAGCTCTGTGCTCAAAGCTACAAAAAGGCACATCTATGGTAAAAGCAGCACCTGGCCCTGCGCAGCAGCTCACATCCTCTGCAGAGCCACACACCGGGACCCCGTTTAATGGTGGAGGCCTGGGACCACAGGGCATGGGGCCTGCGGGCGAGAGGGGAGCAGAGCGAAGCCACCTCCTCCCGCCCCGCACAGCCACCCCACCCACTCAGGTCAGAACACAGCAGCACAGGCGCCCTTTCTGTCCTCGCTGTCCTCTGGCACCCGGGGAAGTCTCACTCTGGGCCCGCTCCACGGCCTCCTCCCTTTGCACACCTGCTGCAGACGCGAGGGAGTCCCAGGGCCCAGACACCCGAGGTTGGTCCTGCTCGCCCTCCTCCTCATAGAGACCATGGGTCGCGTGTCTGAACATCGAGGCAGGCCGGGTTGGCTTCGGCGGGTGGAGGCTGGTTGGCTGGGCTGGCAGGGCGTTCTGGCCTCTCCGCACGCGCTCAGCAGCAAGGGCGTCCTCATCAGCCACACCTGCAAGCACAGCGGGAGAGCCATGAGTGATCAAGGGAGGCAGAGAGGGGTGCGGGGGCTGGCCGCACCATCTCCACGAATCCAGCCATGTCATCTCTGTGGAGGAGAAAAAGGTTATCTCATTTCTTCACGGGCTCCACACTGGGGCCAGAATTGAATCCTTAAGGGGGAAAAGAAAGAGTCATCTGAACATCACACCTCTCTCCCCTGAAAGAAGTGGCTCCCCACCCCACCGCTTTAGCACAATCAACACGCCCCTTCCAAGAGTGTGTCCCACCGAAATCACGGTCCAGGACTAAGAAATTCATTGTCAAAATCAGCCAGCTGGGCCACCCTGAGGAAGAAAGGCGCTGGGTCCAGTTAGCGATTTCCTCCTCAGAGTTCATACACAGAAGACACCCCCTCCCTTTCCTCTTCGTGCTGGAATAATCTGTGGTGGCAGCCGCAGCACACAGGAGCCACACCGCCGCCCAGGGCAGGGCCATCCTGCCACTCACAGCTCCAGCCCCAGCCCCCACCACACACACACCCGAGGCAGGCCGGCTCCAGCCCCCACCACACACACACCCGAGGCGTGCTTCTATCAGTCTTTTGAAATACAGAAAAAGTCATCAGAAGGCCATGCATTAAAAAAAGAAATATAGAAAACAATGTTTTGCCCACTGATGGATACGAGGAATAAAATAAGCAAACAATATTCAATATTGAACATTCAATAATTCGATCATCTCCACCATGACTCTCCGAATGTCTGCGTGGCAGACGCCACATGGACGTGAGGGAGGCGGCTGGGTCAGAGCTCCAGGAGCAGGCATGCGAGGCCACGGGTGGTGGGATTCCTCGTCCCTCTGAAAAGTCTAAAATGTGTCTAAAACATGTCACACCCAGTGCTTTGGACCTGAGCCCTGCACAGATGTAAAGCAAGGCAGGCCCTCCCGTCGCACAACATGGAGTCTGACCCAGAAACAGCCCATCCTGGCTTCCCGCAAGCAGGGGGAGCACTCCGCCACTGAAACATGCCCGAAACACAACGGACTGAGATCGACCTGTGCTGCCGAGCTTCCTCAATGAAACTGGCCCGTAAGCCACTCCCGGTGCCGAGCGCCAGGCCCAGGGTCGGAGTGGAGCCTGCCCCCAGGAGCTGCAGTGTGGCTCACCCAGAACGTAGAACTGGCTGCGAGGTCAGGAAGGACCCTGCTCTCAGGCTCTCCCCTCAGGCCAGGGCTCCAGTCCTTAAGGACCGCAGTGCTCACCGAAGGAGGGCCCTCACTAGGTGTGGAAACTCATCTCCAAAAATACCAAGACCTGGGCAATCTGCTGCCGCCTGTGCGTCCCCAGAGGGGAGGGCGAGCCGCACCCAACCCCGAAGCTGCAGCACGGTGCCCACAGGGCTCAATCGCTTCAGAAACTCAGCAAACGCAGGAAGGGGAGCAGACCTCAGACGTCGCCTTCCACCCCAGTCCTACTTCCCCACACATTGAACACAGAATCGTGATTTTTGGGACTATTTAACCAAGCACGGCAAACCCAGGGTGCAAGGTTTCACAAACAACACCCCACTGCCAACAGCCGTCCCGCACGCCCTGCCGGGGGACTGCAGGACCTCTGCTGAGACGCCGCACCAAGAGAATGCACGCAGGTTTCTCAGCGTCACACGGGACGGAACCGCTGAGCTGAGAGGGGTCACCTGCCCGAGGCCTGCTCCTCCTTCGGGACCTCTGTGTGCTCACCAGCAGGATGACGGTGGCCTGGATGCTGTCTGCAATTCTAGACTTGAGTGAAGGAAGAGCACCCGGCACACAAGCCACGCAGGCAGGCATCATGTGCACACAGTGCTTCCTCAATGCGTCTGCGGCCAGAGGAAAAGTGCCAGGGTCCCCGGACCAGGCCCCAGTCACAGGCTGGGAGCGAGGGCTCTGTGACGGACACCCAGGACACACCCAGGACGCAGCTTCTCAGCAAACCAAACTGATTCCCAGCTACCTGGACCCTTGTGGGAGAGTGGGACATGTGGGGACAGCGCTGTGAACTCTCTGTTGTGTGGCGATGTGGCCCCAGAGCTGACACGGAATCTCACAGGGGCCGTGTTGCCGAGACGCATCTGAGGCTCCTCTGGCCACATCTGTGGACCCTGGGCAGACCCGGCCCCCAAAACACCAAGGAGAGACTTGGCACAGGTGCTCCCAGGGTGCCGCATCCCACCATGGAGTGAGAGAGGAGTGGAGAGCCCCATGCACACAGCAGCAAAGGGCCAACCGGAACCGGCCAAGCCCGGCCGCCTCGGGAGGACTGCACCAACTGTGACATGACTTTTAAGGATTATAATCTAACGTGGAGCATTTGAGGAAGAAATTTAAAGTTTCCGGTGTGTGACACACTGAACTGGACCCTGAACATCCATAGCTGTGAAGTCCTCCTGGGCAGGGCGACAGCCGAGCTCTGAGACCGCTGGAAGAGCTGTTGCTGCCTGCCTAGCCACACGTCCCGGGGCCCGGGAGGTTCGGAGCCAAGCGAAGCCGCTCACCCACCCAACTCCACTCTGGGGAAACAGGGCAGCGTAACCCTGCACATCCCGGCTCATCCTGGCTCATCCTAGCTCTGGGAAGCCCAGTCTCGCTGACAGTTGGGACTTGCCGCCTTAGCTGCCCCTGCGCCCCTGGTCCACAGGTGAAACACGCCCTCAGGTGGGTGTCCAAGGTCCCATCTTCAGAGCACTGTGATCAGCCGGGGCTAACATCGCCTGGGGAGGGCCAGGCTGCGGGTCCAGCCTCAACCAGGGTAGAGAGACGCACTGCCTTCAGAGCTGCTCAGGGACGTTCTGCTTTACTGTCTGTTTGGAAAAAGGCCCGCTGAGACCTAAGCCTGATATTTTGAAAACAAGTACTGAAGGCACCTGCAGCATCCAAAGCTCCCTGCGCCATCTCCTCAGAGGCTGAGGCCACTGGGCAGGCGTCGGCGCTCCTTTCAACCCCAGGCCGCTGCGCTGGCAGCTGCAGGCTCAGAGTGGCCCTGGAGTGACGGGGGAGGAAGGCGCAGGCTCCATGGCCATGTCCACAGGGCAGCCTGGCTCCTGCAGACGCCTGTGCCCCTGTACTCTCCAGCACAGCTCAGCAGCTCAGCCCCCACCACCAGCCACAGGTCCAGGCAATGCCCAGAAGCCTCCTCCCCTCCCTCCCTCCCTCCTTCCCTTTCCCCGTGAGGAGGGCTGGGGCTGGCATGCATAGCAGGTGGACAGCAGCTACTCAGGTCGGTCTCTGAGCAAACCCTTCTGGCCCCAGCGGCAGGACACGGTCCCCACCCAAGCCACCCACAGGGCCTGTGTCCCCAGGCGGAGCACACAAGGGACTCCCCAAGGTTCCCCTGAAACCTCATGGGTAGGGTAGTGAGGTGCCAGGAAAAGTGACTTGGGGAAGATGAAGGTGGAGATGAGGACCTCCTTATCCACATCTCCCTGCATCGCCTGGGGAGCCACGTGGCGCGCTGCTGCTCCAAACCCCCATGCCCAGTCTCCCGTAGGCACGGTGAGGTGCTGCCGTGGCCAGGGAGCAGTCACCTCACGGCTGGGATGCAGAGGCGCAAGCAGGGGTCATCTGACGTCTGTCAAGAGAGAGACACAGTTGGTCCGAACAGGAGGACTGCCCCACTCGGCCTCAATGGTTCCAACTGTTCAAAGCCAAGGCTCCAGGCATCCTGCTGCTGTGCCCGCCCCAGCTCTGCACCCAGCACTGTCAGAGGCTCTGTTCACTACCTCACTGGCAGGCGAAGCTGTCGCCTCTGAGGTTCAAACCTGCACCATGGACGGAGTGGCACCCCACTGCCTCCCACAGCTTTCCAGCAAGAAAACTGAAAGAGAAAGAGCAAGTGGCTGGAGAGCGGTCACGGATGGACAGACGGGCTGCAGGAGAGCCGGAATAAGCACGACCTCACAGCCCTAGCCTTGGCCTCGACCTCCTGGTCCCTCCCAGGCCAGGGTTATCCCATCTCCCTCCTGGCCACAAGAGGATTAGCCCTGAGGTTCAGGTTTAGCTGGCACAGGATGCAGCCTGGTGCAGTCTGTCAAGGTCCCAGGGCACAGTGAGCTTCACGACGTGACATGCTCTCCAACGCCCCAGGGCCTCACAGGCTGACAGGGCCACGGCGGGAACCCTGGGGTCCCCAGAGACCAAGGCAGGTGTTCCTAGAAACCCTGCACCCCAACCCTTCTGCCTCCCACTCACCACGAGGAAGGAGCTGGGACTGCTGATGCTAAGAAACGCTCCTCACAGGATATGGGAGTGTCCAGACCACACTCCTGCCTGAGTCCCAGGATGGGACGAGCCAGCCTCGCGCACAGCCTGGAAGCAGGTGGCATGCGCAGCGCTGAGGACACACAAACTCAGCACAGTTCCCATAGCAACCCCTTCTCCCACCGCAACTCCCAGGACACTCTCTGAAGCATCCGGTTAGAACTTCCGCAGCACCTGCAGTTACCCAAAACCTCCTCGTCGGATTCAGAATTTCCCCACACCACCTTCTCATCTCTGTCCTCGCTGCTTCCCACATGTGGAGGCCTGGAGACAGCGCTCTGTGGGGTGTGTGCACCAAGGCGAGCCTGTCAGTCAGCCAAGGACCCTGCTTCCAGTGCTCAAAACACCCACCCTTCCTTCAGTTCTGAGGATTCTGTCCTCTCGTGCAGGGAAGGGCCCAGATCACATCAGTGTGTTCACACAAGCAACTGTTACAACCACTCCTTTAAAAAGCACTGCACAGCTGGGCACGGTGGCTCGCACCTGTAATCCCAGCACTGTGAAAGGCCGAGGATCACTTGAGCCCAGGAGTTTGAGACCAGTTTAGGTTCAAGATCAGCCTTGGTAACAAAGAAAGACCCCATCTCGCCGGGCGCGGTGGCACAGGCCAGTAATCCCAGCATTTTGGGAAGCCAAGGTGGGTGGATCACTTGAGGTCAGGAGTTCGAGACCAGCCTGGCAACATGCTGAAACCCTATCACTACTAAAAGTACA